TTAAACGCCGTCAACTAATATTATGAGCATCTCGCAACTTCCTTTCTGCTCCTTTGAACAGCAGATCGCTTGTAACAATAGCTTTCTTTGCTCTCGCCCTTGGCATACTAAATTATACAAGGCTATCCCATGCGATACCCTCTCTGCTTTCTTCTTTCTATCCTCTGTCTTACTCCCTTTCCCTGTATTCTTGGTACAAAAGTTGAGGCATCCTTAAGCTTCGCCTTCAAGAGTAGAACACGATGGCGACATACTGTCCCTAGTGCGTACTCCAGCGACTTAGGGCATACTTTTCAGTGTGTGATGTTACTCGAAAGTTGAGATTGTGGAATTACTACGCTATAGTTGGTAAAGTTGAAAGTGGCTTGTGTCAGTGGCGCTTTCACGTATGACATCCAGATCTGAGACATTAAAAAAAATGTTTTTTTTTCTTTTTGCGTTATTATAAATCAGCGGCGTTTTCTAAATCAGAATCAGTGGTTTGTTTATCTCAGAGGTTTTTTTTTCAGTAAAACTGACGTATTTCAATATTTTGGGCTTGCCTTCCGTGCCCCCTTCTTGCGTAGTAAAAGATTCCTTGCAGTTCAAGCTTCATATCCATATGGAGAGGTTACAGTTTACAAGCTGGAGTGCATTTGGCACATTCAAAAAAAAAATGAGCCCAGAACTGCAAAAATTAAAGAAAGCAGAGGGATCAAGCTTTCTTTCTGGAAATATATATCTGGCTGGGGACGTCTTAGTAGTGCCATCATTGGTAAGCAACAGAAGTACTAGCTTATTGTCATTGAAAGAAATAGAACTAGCTTGGAGATTATGCGAAAAACTGGCCGAGCCACATACTTTCATAAGGCATCAAACAATACCAATCCGTTCCACGGCCTTTGCCCGAAGAACACTGAAACTTGGTGTAAATCAAATGAAGTCCAATTGATAGGTGGACCGTTCGTTCATAAAGAACACCTTTAAGCATCTGTTACTGAGGCTGTTGCGCCACATTATCTGAAACTAGCTCGTCCAATATTACCTGCTCAATTTCTCTGTGGGAGTACTGAAAATCCATACGAGTCATTGAATTGTCATGTGGGAGCGCGCTCCAAACAACATTTTTCCTCGGACAACGTATAGACACTGAAAATATGCACTCTCAATGCTTTGCTCAATTTTAATGATGCCATGCCCCCCATGCTGAACGTCTTTGACATTTAGTCAGGGCACTGCACTGTGTAGCCCCTATGCATCCTTGGCCTGCGTCGACACTACTTTGCTGACAAGGCTGCACAGCAGGTGAAAAAGGAAGCTCGCCAGGCAAGGCGTTTCAACACAAAAAGAAAAAAATAATAATGTTGGTAAAGAGTATCTGGTTGGTGCCTACAGAAAGGGGGCTGTCCATTTGCTATCATCTAATCGTACCTTTATATAATGACAATTTTTCACTGCAAATGCTATTATCTCAAGACATGTTACTTTTGTACTGTGTTCCTTCAAGGCAGCATCCACTGTATAAAGAATTGCATATTTCGGCCGCTATTCAGATAAGTAGTAGGCAATATGTTGAAGCATAACTATTGTTGTTTGAGAAAACTCTTCTTCAACACATCTACTAGCTCTAAAAAATACAGTGCAAACACACGACAAATTCACACACACACACACACACACACACACACACACACACACACACACACACACACACACACACACACACACACACACACACACACACACACACACACACACACACACACACACACACCCAGGCATGAAACACGCGCAGTGATTTTCGTGTTTGATGCGTGGGTGTGTGTGTGCGTAAATGTGTTCTGTGTTGTGCGCTCAAACTAGTGGTTCAAAATTTTCTACCAACTAGCTCAACAACAAGTTCTTTTACAGTCTAATAGCTATTGCCGAGTGATAGTTAGCCACCTGAAGCAGTAGAAAGTTTACAAAAAATTAATGTTATGATTTTGAGCAGTAAATATGCTTCAGTAAACAATAGCTTGCTGCCTATAAATACAGGACAAACGCGTGGAGTTTGCATGAGAGATTACGCGGGATTCGCGCAACCAAAATGTGGTTTATAGCTACTCTTTGCTTCGCGCGTCACCAATGCTTTTCGCTTCCTTTTATTTCAATGCACCGCTATGTTTAATTGGTAGCAAACGATCCACCCTTCCCGAGTTCACTCACTCACGCTCACTAAAATACTTGATAAGAAATGTACATGGCGCTCACTGTTTGAGTGCTGAACATTAGCTTGGCATTGTACAACGAAAAGAGAACGACGGAATACAAAAAAATGGATAGCCCCCTGGGAGGGAAACGGGAGTCGAGTTCACGCGATGGTGACGTCACAAATCGACTAGACGTCACCGTCCCTTCGAAGAGCTATAGCTAGCTTTCCAAGGGGATTCGATCGCTGTAGTGGTACAGAACTGGGTGCCCCTGGTTCCCGATTGGGACGGCGCAGAGTGTGCGCACAGCGTGTGTCGTGAAGCATCTGCTGTGTTCCCGCTGTACGAGGAGTAGTGATATGCGCAACAGGAACCGGCAACCGACTATCAGAGCACCGGTAAAACGAGCTCCCTATACTACTGCACGCTATGTATGTGTGCGTTTCTTCATTGGTTGAGTCTATTTCCACAGTAGTCCTTATTGATCAGTGGTCTCGGCTAACGAAACTGTGCGTAGTGTAGTCAGGCCTGCCATATGTACTGGTGGAACGATGGTTTGGCCCGTGCCATGTTTGGACCACCACGGAAGAATTCGATTTTTGTTAGCTTTCTTTTTTGAATGTACCAGCTCACCGTGGTATGATCGTATCTTCATAGCATCCTGGGGTCTCCCTTGATTTGGCATTATATAAACACCTACCGTAATGGAGCTAGGAAACCTCTTTTCTGTGATCAAGATTACTGCTGCCATCTCGGCCGCGGGAACTGAAGCTTCATGAAGGCGGAGTGAAAGAGCGGTTGCTCACTTTAAGTGACGTACGCACGCACCTACCACACGCACACTTACACTAGTGATTTGAGACATTTACCCTCTTCACTCATGTTAGATTAGCTTGAGCCCATTATACCTGCCGGTGTGGCTGCCACCTCCATTTTTTAATTTAGGTGTCTTCATATATATGGTCCGAAACACACACACACACACTCACACACACACGCACACACGCACACACACACACACGCACACACGCACACACACACACACACACACACACACACACACACACACACACACACACACACGCGCGCGCAAGGTTCCTTGATGTACCTCTGAGTACGCTCTCTTCTGAATAAGCATCTCCCTTAACAAAAAGAAAGCTTTCATTTTAAATCTTGAACAGTGACGATTAAGTAAAATGATCTGCTGTAGATCAAAGTGGTTACATTCCACAACGTGGGTAGCAAGTGCAACAATTTTGCTTCGAGTGTCTTTTGAACAAGCTGATGATCTTTGTCTGACCTTTTTCTCCATAACTACAGACAAAAAATATTGGGCGTTTACCTGTTAAGCGCTGTCATATGACACGACAGACCAAGACGAACCGACAAACATACGAAGCGGCGATTGTATACCCGAGTCCCCATGATGGGAAGTAGAATGCAACTTTTATCCGTGAAAACCTGCGAAATTGGGTATATACGCATTTACAAGAAGGTGCTCACACGAACACATGTCCTTGTAATATAAACAGGAGGGCGTTTTTTTAAAGACGACTGTTATTCTTCGGATACTTCAAAGCAGAAATTTGTCTGTCTTTTTGTTGTCCGTCTTCCTGTCTTTCTGTTTGTCGGTCAAGCGAAACCACTCAGCTACAGGTCCAAAGTTCAAGCACTTCCTCAACGCTCACCCATGTTGATCTGGCGTCTGCGTTCATACTCGTGTGCGTACACGATCAATCAAAAAGCAACTATTGGGCGTATCTGAGGCCCAGTGTCAACCTGTCAATATTTGGTGGTGTGTTACTTTAATGACAAGGCTCTTAAACCGGGCTGGCTTTAGCATTTCGTTATGCGTCAGCCGCCTACCGTTCACTTTTCGTTCTGCTCGTATGTGGCTTAAGTGATTCGCCACGCCTGACCTGGCTGAGTCGTACTTGTGCGGCTCTGTACAATTTACGACCATTTTTGTGTGTATAGGACAACAGCGATGCAATTTCAGCATGCATCAAGTGATAGACCTAACGAGCATTGTACTTACATATTAGCAGGCTTTAGTTGGTACATATGCCTCTAGTTGTTACTCCATTGACTGATATAGAGAGTCAATTGATGTTGTGTGTCTTCTTTGGTATCAGCTGGTTTTAACATTGTTTAGCGCAATGACATATTTTATCTATGACCTGCTCTAACAGTTCTGCAATAAAAGCTTGATTGATGTTACACTCATCCAGGACACTTTTTAAGTTGCCGAGCAATGTTTTTTTTCATAAATATAGTGACTCAATATCGATGAAAAACTGCAAAAGATCTGCATGCTGGGCGAGCAATGTGGCTGCGTAAATATAAGTACATCTTGCCACTAAATTGGTCAGGCAGTTCGCGCAACCTCTAGTGAACAGTTATTTTAGCGGCTCACAATTTCGCATAAGGTAAGGACGTACTGATTAGGAGAAATCATGCGCACATTTTTTTCAAGTCTATGGTGACAACAGCTCAGCTTGAAGAATTTCCCCTCTAGAATACTTGAATACATTTTAGCAGATAATGGCATTGTCTGGTCGCTTCAAGGCGCATCTAATGTCAGTCACTTAATTGATTACATCTACATTTCACAACAATCAGCGGCTATTAGGTCCCTTTGCAGTTGCGTGAAATTAGGCACGCCTAGTTCATCACCTCATTATGATTCAGTCAAAATAACCTGACGCTGTTCGGCAATAGCTCTGCCAAACCCAGGAGATATCACAATCATTATCATCATCTTTATTGAGTTGTGAGAACATATCCTGACCTGGTGGTCTGCTTGCTCTTTCTCTGCTCTCAGGATGACATGGTTTGTCTACAATGCACGGCCACCGGAACAAGGGTGTGCCTTGCCGCAGAAGGGTTCGGAAATCGACACTGCTACCTCGAAAACATCGCCGACAAGGTAAGGCATATTTTGACGAGATCTATAGACATGTTACGCTATGCTCAGCCATGATGAAGTGGCGAGAAGTACACCTAAATATTGAAGCCCACACGAATAATCACATGGAAAAATCAGCTATTACGCCTGCCTAAGATTGCTCCTAAACACTCAAAACGCAACAAGATTTTCATGAAGGATGTGGTACAGTTTCTGTGCACGTGACTTTCGTGATTTGTGGTGAGCACTTTGAACACTCTATTCAGAACATTGTCTTGAAAATTTTACATGGCTCACTCGGGGTTGAATTTTTATTTGCTTAGAAAGTTTGCGCCGCAGTTAAAAATTTTTCACAGAGCACCTACAGGTGGTGGGTGGCTTTTGCATGTAAGGAATTTCAGGCGCTCAAGATTATTCTATTGTTATACTATCGAGATTTACACTATTCAGACCAAAGCTTTAGCGAGTACATATGAAGAGCCTAATGTAATTTTTAATATACTGACCCTTTAAAGAAAACTCAGCATTCCATTGACGGTAAGCGCAGCGCACGGAATTAAGAGCGGGCCAATTGGCTTCTATATTCTTCGGTGAGTGCCTAAAGATAATCAAAAGAGAACATCTCGACGCACTTATAACAGCGCAGGTGAAATTATTCGTTCAAAGAACGCTTGCAGAAACTGAAGTATCAAAAGAGACCTACATACTCAACTTCCATTATAAGCGCCAGTTTTCTCGGCGTCCATTCGGCTAGCTTATACAAAGCCAGTATTCGTAACTTGGTTCTGGCAGCAGTGCCCGGCTCGTGTTTGTAATTGGGGCGTGCATGCGAATTTCCAGCCGACATCAATCGCGAAAAGCCGAGCGTGCGAGGCCAATGTTTTCAGAATGCCTGGCCAGGCGTGCTCGCAAATTGCACAATCTCAGCAGTGCAGTGTTTGAGCTAGAGATAACGGGACGGTCGATCCGTGACTGCGCGGGCGCTTAAAGAGGCTTGCCTCATCATCTTTTACTCTTCGCTGATAGATTCAAGCCTGTGTGCAATCGTAAACAAGTTTTACCGAATGGCAAAGATAAAGAGAAATAAAAATATTGTTGTTTCATTCTCTTATTGAAACACTGTTTTCTTTTTTACTTGAGCGATATTTATTTCAATCACTATACTTACCTATAGCCCAAACTAACTTCTTTGAATGGATTACTTCTGAAGAGCAAGGATCACACAGGCTTGTATTTCATTGAGCGCATTCAAAACAGTGAACACGTTGATGTAAATCAACGTCTCATTTGGAACATTTGCGAAGAATAATTTACAAAGACATGCTTCAAAAGTACCGTGAAAGACTTATTCAGCTAAGCGTCGACCGACCAAAGTACAAGAGTTCACTGCCCGACAAACCGATAGCTAAAATATTTTAGAATCAGCCATAAATGAGCAGAGTTGCAGACATTTATCAAAAGAATTAAGCACTTTGACTTATCTAGTCCCGACGAGCCAGACGAGTGCTCAGAGATCTACACGAGGAGGTACAGGCTAAGCATTGGGAAACATGTGATGTCAGCGGGCGTCATAATTACCATCTTAGAATTACCATGTTGCAGTTTTCTGTCACCTGACATATTTCCGCCAAAATTGCGTAAACCTTTAGTCACGTGACATAACACGACGCAACGCTAGCCGCGTGACGTGTCGCCACTAAAATCACGTACCACAATTCCCGTGATGTGTCTCCCACAAACCAAGGACGTTTGAGCTTGGAAGGGACGCTGACCAGGGAGAGCAGCTTCTTCATCGTCAGTGCGAAAGTTCCCTCTTTAGTTCTCGCCGCTATGCACCGCTTTAGTGCAAGCCAGCTTCACCGGTATACCTCCATGTTTGCACCACTAGCGTGGGGTGGCCGCAGTTTCTGACTGTCTCCTTAATTTACCGTAGTACTCCTTATACACAAGACAGCCCAAGACATGTCGAATCAAGATCCATCAGAGTGAGTAATGTAGTTGACGTAATTGTATTTCATTCGCGGGATCATTTTTTTCAGGTACACTTTTTTTTCTGAAACACAAAAGTGTACAGGTGCTCTGAAATCAAAACGAAGCATGCGAGCTGTGACCGAACGAGCTGAAACTGCACGCCAGCGCTCTCTATCGGAAGTGGCGCTGCAGATAGCGATAGTGCGTCGGAATATCCGACTGATCGATCCTGATGATCAGATGCTCGCCTTATCACCTGTGCAAGCAAAATCATGCTACTATACTATCATTGCTCGTCAGGGGCGAAAGTTGTGGCATTCTTGGTGATGTGGTCAAGCGAATGCCTTCGAATATTTCCTCACGGCGCAGGCAAACAAAGGAATAAAGCATCGAAATCGCCTCCTGACAAGCAATGAGGGTGGCAGCGCGGCTTCTCTGGAGGCAGCGATAAGGCAAGCATCTGAATATCGGGATTGGTGAGACGCGCTCTCGCTATCCGCAGTGCATCGTGTTTCGAATTCGTGCGATGAATTTGCGCAAGTTCCACCTACTACAGCAAAGAGCCGGACGACATATTGCTGCTGAACGCTATCTGTCCTCTACAAAACTTCTTTTTTCCGAAATTCAATATTCTTCCAGTTTTCTCTTTGTACAATTACAGATTGATGTTATGTTATAAAGAGTTTGTTTAAGCATGGTACCAATACCACAATAGGTCTCGCTAAACTTAATGTAAACACAAGTGTCCGACTCACCAGGCACGAAGGTGTTTGGACTGTACCCACCCCAAAAACTTTTTTATTACGAACAATCAATGCCCTACAGACTACCTTCTCTGGTAAACTTTTTGAACACTGAAGATTTTGATCCTTCCTCTAAACAAAACTGTCCGCACTTCACGGATTCGTATCCCGGCTGTGGCGGCTGCATTTCCGATGGAGGCGGAAATGTTGTAGGCCGGTGTGCTCAGATTTGGTTGCACGTTATAGAACCCCAGGTGGTCGAAATTTCCGGAGCCCTCTATTACGGCGTCTCTCATAATCATATGGTGGTTTTGGGACCTTAAACCCCACATATCAATCAATCAAACAAAACTGTCATATTAAACACTTCGCTCAGCTGATACTTTTCGTGAATAATACATCTCTCAGTATTTATGACCATTGTTTCCTTTCTATCATTGCTTTTCATGTTCATGCCACCTAATGACCATGCAATTCAACTATTCTCTTTTTGTTTTAGCGCTTTTTTCATTAATGTCCGTATTGTTTTTTGTGATGTTATACCTATAGGTTTATTTGATATTTGTTATGCACGAGTGTCTGCCATTCCTGCTGCTTTATCAACTTGTGAACGGAGTCAGGACCTCGTCAAGTTCTTGAGCTTTTAGTCCTGTACTCTGACTAATCAAAATAGATAGATAGATTGATTTATTCATTGATTGATTAATTGATTGAACACTGCCGTGCAGTTTCACCCTGTTCAGCCACAGCTCGTGTGCTCCCTTATACATTTCTAGAACATGCACAAACTACAGACCAAGTCACATTTGTTGATTAGCCGGAGACAAAGTTCTAAAGGCCAGACCGAACCATAAGCTATTATTCTTCATTACTTTGTTCATTCTGCCCCGCCGCGGTGGTCTATGACTAAGGTACTAGGCTGCTGACCCGCAGGTCAGAATCAGAAATCAAAAAAAGTTTTATTTCAACATCAGACTCAGAAAGAATACAGATGTTGAGGGCCGTGAGCTAAAAGCCACAAAACGGGTTTACGAGGCCCACGGTCCCTTCAACTTGGGGCTAACAGAAAGCAACAAGGACACGGAGGAGCAAGAATACACTACACATCGTCTCTCAACTAGAGGTTATTTTCACAGAGATAAATATACATGTTACCTAATAAACGCATCTTAACCTACAGTGCAAGTTTATTAAAAAAAGATGAGCTGTCATAATACGCTTAGAAATAGCGGCAAACATGCACATAAGTACATATAAAGACACATACTTATGTAAATGCTCATGCATACACATACGCAGAGCTGATAACAACACCCCACCCTTCCTCCAAGAGAAAATGTTGGCAAGTTGTGTATTTTTTTACTTCAAAAGCAAGCTATATAGAGGCTCATTTGTACTATTCAAATGGTATTGCAATAATTAGCACAACATCTGTTTGCTATAGTTATTTCGCGTGCCTAATATTGCACGCAGAATCGGTGGCAAAATCGAATCCCGGCTGCGGGGACTGCATTTTCATTGGGGGCAAAAATGCTGCAGGCCCGTGTGCCCAGATTTTGGTGCACATTAAAGAACCCCAGGCGGCCGAAATTTCCGGAGCTCATTACTACGGCGTCTTTTATAATCATATGGTGGTTTTCAAACGTTGAACGCCACATACCAATTAACATTTTCTCCACTTGTACAGTTTCGTTTATGTGACTGTTATTTCTTGAAAAAAAATTAGCCACGCTGACTGGATGATGCAGTATTGCTGATGATGTTGTTTTTCGTCGTTGTAACCACACTTTCGATAGCGTTGTGCCTTGGCGGCAGCATTCTAGAATGATCAAACAAGCACACAAATAAATGGCTCAGACTTTATTGTAATAACTGGTTTAATGGAATTGTGGGGGCTTCGAAGCAGCGATTGCTGACGAAGCACGCCAATCTATTCCGTCTTCATAACAAAAAATAAAAATAAGACCGAATATCACGGATTCGAAAACGAATGATCGGCTTCTATCGAAACAATTGTGTTGTATAATTGATGGCTCAAATGGAAGCGCCATGGCATTGTCCTGAAATTATACGGCGAGCAGCTGAAATCGAGCAATAATGGCACTGTTGCTGTACTTCAGCTAATACAACGCTCACATTTCTGGTGTCTGCCATACTACCCTGAAAGACTGCAGTGGTTCGTATTGTGTGTGTGTGTTTTATTCTGAGCAGGCCTGATAAAGTACAGCAGCCCGTTATTACGTCCCGGCACTGCTGCGGACGTTTAATATACGTCAGCGGCCACTGGTGATTGTCATCCAATCATCTTTCGTTCTGCCGAGCAATTTCTCAAGAATTCGAAGAGTCCGTGGCGTGCACACAACCAGCCTTCACTACAACCGCCACTGATTGATGGGATGGCATATATGTCATAACAGCAATTAAGGGTGCATTTGACAATTAATATGTCTATATAGATGTACGTGAAGTTACCTAACTCATATTTCGTTCAAGGACCCTTAGTGATGCGCTAAATGACAACGCGCTATTTCCTCATTCATTAGCTGTAAGAACGTAGAGATTTGTCCTAACGAAAGTAAGAAAGAAGAGTAGGACTAAAATAAAACACGGAAAACTCATACCGTCTTCCTAACCCGAGGCTTTCTCCTGTCATTTTTTAAATAATGAATCAATCATTCAATAAACGATATCTCAACCAATAGTTTCTGTAACATACCTAGGAGCAGCCACGTGGTCCTTGTGTAGGCGCACGAAAAAGGAAAAAAATGAAACGAGACGACGAAAATGAAGTAAGGAAAGTTAAAAATAATATGGTATATGCACAACTATGCGGAAGGCTTCCTTAAATACGGAATAAGGAAGAATCTGTACACTACGCACATAACAATAATGATAAACCTAATAACAATGACGACGACGATGCTGATCATGACTGCAGTTTCGATAGAAGTGAAAATTCTTGAGGCCCTTATGCCTACACTTAGGTGCCCGTTAAAGAAGCCCAGGTAGTTGAAATTTCTGGAGCCCTCGACTATACGGCGTCTGTCATAATCATATGGTGGTTTTCAGACGTTAAACCCCAATATTTATTGTTGTGCTGAGCATGATGATGCTAATGTTGGCTGGAACCTTTATATGTCGGTGCTTGCATTGTATACAACTTTTCGGAGGGGGAGTCATTTTCTTTCTACCTATTGCGCTAACATTACCATTCTGTCATGCCAACAGAACTTTCCTCCGGAGATGCTGTCATGCGTGCTGGTGCTGGAACAAGCCCTGTCGGTGCGGGCCCTCCAGGAGATGGTCACGGCTGCTAACTCGGACACGGTCAGTAACTCTTTTTACGAATGCGTTAGCGTGCGTTAACCAAGGTCGGGTACGGTCGAAAACATAACTAACCCCATAAATCTCCAAGTTTAGCCATCCGTGTAGCGTTCGTATTGCATGACGTGATGAATTCACTGGGAAGCAGGGCGAAACACCAGCGCAATACTGTAATAATCGTTGGCGGTAACTTTCTCGGTGTTATGGGCGATATAATAATAGATAAAAAGTTACTATAGATACTAAAGGAGTTAACGACTGTTTATAGCATTCCAACATGTGTCATTTGCGTGCACCTAAATAAAGAGTTAACTCAATAGCTTTAATATCTTGACTATTTTGCGAAACAGCCAGCGAAGTTTAGTGTATCCGTAAGATTCTTAACATATGCGTTTACAGCACATTTTGACGACAGTAGGATGACTGCTAGTGACCAGTTGTGACCTGTTTCTCTACTACAAGCCATTTTATTTTTTTTTTCGTTTAGGTGCTTCGGTGTTCGCTTGAATAAAAAAAATGGCAGCATATCCACGGAGTGAATGATGGAGAGTGGGGCGAAGAATTCGTCCGTTCATTCGTTCTTGCTTCCGTCCGTCCATGCGTCCGTCAGTGTGACCGTTCATGCGTCCATCAGCCCGTCTGTGCGTGCGTCTGTTCGTGCGTCCGTCCCTGCGTTCGTCCATGCAGCCGCCCCTGCGTCCGTTCATGCGTCCATCCATGCATCTGTCTATGTGTCCGTTCGTCCATCTATTCAACACTCCAAGTACCACCATCTCGCATCTTTTCATCATATATTTCCCATAGAGAAGCACCGCCATCCAGCGGACATTCCAAGGACTAAACGAGAGGTGGCACACGCACACTTTCTTACGGCTTGCGCTTCGGGTCCACATCCCACCTTTAACCACCTCGAGTTCATGGTATATACTAGTTCACTGTATTCATGGCACTGCGGCCGAACGCTCGCTAAACCTTTCGAAAACCAAGGAGGTTACGCCTAGCGAGTATGACGTAGCAAACTTTTTTAGTCAGATAGTGCTCAATGTACATGCCAATGGCTGCTAATGGGAAGGGAGAGGCGGAGAATGCGGCTTCTACTTTCTTACGGCTTGCGCTTCGTATCTACTTCCCACTTTTAACCACCTCGAGTTCATTCATGGTATATACAAGTTCATTGTATTCATGGCACTGCGGCTCAACGCTCGCTAAACCTTTCTAAAGCTAAGGAGGTTACACCCAGCGAGTATAACGTAGCAACCCTTTCTTGTCAGATAGTGCTCAATGTACATGCCAATGGCTGCTAATGGTGATCGCAGCCTGCGCATTAACTAAAAGCCGAATGCTCCTGTCTCTCATTCCCCATTAGCAGCCATTGACATGTACATTGAGCACTATTTTTTATTGTTCAACAACGCACAGAAGAAGTGTTTCACCGGCACCACCTTGGAGGTCAAAATGTTATACTTGTTAAATACTACGTGGGATGAACGGGTGCCGCTATAAGGAGCTTCGTTCCTAATATTATGAACCTACTATGAGGTAATGATAACCTCACTGCCGATATTTTTCTTAAGGCGTGAACCAAGACGTGTAAATCGCAGGATCGTTAGTTCCGTGTGTCTATGGTTGTGCCCTTTTATGGCCACCATGTTTAATGTTATCTCTTGGGCTTACTATGAGGTAATGATAACCTCACTGTCGATATTTTCCTTAAGGCGTGAACCGTAATGCGTAAATTGCAGGATTGTTAGTTCCGTGTGTCTATGGTTGTGCCCTTTTATGGCCACCATGTTTAACGTTCTCTATTGGGCATACTTTTTTACTAACCCGTGAACCCATAAAAGGATGAACGTCAACGAAAAAACTGAATTTGCCTCTTGCTTTACGCATGTCTGACAACAAGATAAGTTTTTGCAACGAAAAAAATTAAAATTATCTCTTGCTTTAGGCATGTATAGCCACAGTGTAAGTCAAGCTTTCAGTATTGATTCAGGCTACAGACGCTGTGCAGAGTATCCCGTCTGATGCCTGCCTCTGAAATAAGTGGAGCACGGAGTAACGGAAGCCCCTAAGAAGCCCGCCCTTCTTCTCGCTTCAGGAGACAAAAAGCCTGCAAATGGGGCCCCTATGGTGGCGTTTTTCACGCGAGATTCAAGCAAACGCTCTTGCGAGAATAAACTGAGTCTCGTTCTGTTGCTTCGAAAGCCGACACACACTGCCTACGCCTCCGTTCTTCGCAGTGGCTCGACAGGGAACACAAAAGCCCGTTTCCCCTTTTAGCTACGCTCGGCTGGTTGTTTGAGTGTAGAACAAGGCGAGCGTTGCTGAGCACGACCCGGCTGTTCCAAAGGAGAACCACCCATGCTGCCGTAGTTCTTGCAACGTCTACACGCATGATAGACGTGCCGGCACGGGCCTATAATTTATTTCTGTATTGCACCTTTTTTTTTGTTTTTGCTCTAAGCGTGGAAGTCGGTATAGAATCTTTGGGTTCTAGGTGCGCTGAAGCTCGTAGCTTTGTAGTCCCGAAATAAAGATGACAGGTACATTTATGCGCTTTACTTAACGAAGCCCCCTTTTTTTCAAAAGAATATTGTCGTAATTCGTGCACACTACGTTGCAACGCCATTGAAGTTACAGCAGCAAGCTCCAGGCATCTGTTCTGCGCTCGAACTACGTGATAAGCAAGAAGGGCACCAAAGATTGGTCCAGATATCCGAAGTTGTACACGTGTACAGAGTCACTGCGTGCGCAGTTATTTTCAGCACATTGTGTGGCTGGTATTGAGCGCGCCAGCCTTGACATATTACCAGCCTTGGGTATGCCCCGAATGGGACCTCAAGGAAACATTGCTCCGATCTTGCATATGCCTATTGCTTCTTCAAGGGCCAGTCGTGATGTATACCGCTCACTTTTCTTCCCTTTTGTTCTCGTCTCGGGAAGAAAAGGTAGGATGCCGCCGGTCGGTGCCGCATATCGTCTTCGATAACAAATTATCGCTTCCCTTGTTTTCTAGCCTGCGAGATGCCATTGAACACTTCAGTTTCTGCCTTGGTTGCATCCACAAAGGTGCACGTTATTCTCGGAACCTGCCATCTTTCTCCGGGTTTCCTAGCAAAGCGCATTACCATTGCACGTGTTTCGGATAGTGGGGGATTTCATAGTCAATGCGCAACAAAGAAAATGCACTGATCGAACGCTGTCACACCAAGCATGTGGAATATTAGCAGGAACCTTTGCCTAGTGATGAATGGAGGGGGTTGGTGGTGGGTGGTGATATCGGCTGCCTGAAACGTTTTAGCACTGCATGTCTGTTTATATGCCTACATAAAGTGAGTGCATGGCACTACGTAAAGGGTGGTGAAATACTTATCACCCGGCTCCCCCCTACCATTAAAGCAGTTTTTCGCACTGCCCCTGGCAGCGAACACCGGAGATAGCGAGTCAGTGCTGTAGCGTGGCAAGCAACGGCTCACTGTCCAGATTTCTCTTCGTGTAGGCTGCGGAGGAGACACAGGAAAGAAGTCTTTAATGTGATAACGCCGATCTGATGTCTGTGATGTAATGTCCGTGTTGTGACGTCTGTTGATATCGCATATGTGATGTCTTTGATGTAATATCTGTGATGTGAAGTCTCTGATGTGATACCGCGGATGTGATGTCTGTGATGTAATATCTGTGATGTGACGTATTTCATCTGATACCGCTGATGTGATGTCTGTGATGTAATGTCTGAGTGTAATGTCTGTGACGTGACATCACTGATGTGGTATCGCTGATGTATTGTCTGTGATGTGATTTATGTTATTTAAACGCGGTCGAAACACGGAGTTGATTCCCGTCCGCCGGCTGGCGGCGTGCGCCGCCAAACGGGTATAGAACTGTGCGTAAGAAAAACAAACCTTCGTTTCAGGAGTCCGCTGCTATGACAACGTACGCTTGAAGAAAAAACGGAGGCAATTTATCTACGCCAAGGTGAAACGCATAGAGAAAGTCGTTTTCTCGGTTTTTACTTGCAAGAGTAGCGCCATCGCTGCAACGACATCTTGTATTGCAACTGCTTAGTAAAAACTTTAGAAGAAAGAAAAAAAAAACAAGTATGGACAGACAGAGAAACCAGAGGCTCGAACTTCCACTGCGGCTTTCTTTTTATTCTAGCTTTCAGATATGGTGGGTGGAGGAGGCCTCAATTCTAAAGCCCCTGAATCAAATTTACTCAATCCTGTCCAACAGCGCGCTCTTTTTTCAGATAAACAAATCAACAAATCAACAAAATCTGGCCAGTACCTCTAATCGGTAGAGAAATAAAACGCTAAGGAAAACGCAATTAGGAATTATTCTTTATTCTCAGGTCATAATTTTAAGCTTTTGTTCCTATGGGACGAGGCATGTTGAGAATATTGTAAAAAATATATCATATTCTAAAAAGAAACCATCACACTATGTAATTAAAAAATATGACATACAAAATATGTAACGAGTGTTTCAAAGAACTCATAATGCATATCTGCATATGACATATTTGTGCACGTGCACGATCATGTGTGCTGCGCTAAGGGTACGTTCTTTGTATGAAATGGTAAGCGTGTAATTATTCCAGTGATTGGTGTCACAACAAAATCAACCAATCAATCAGTCATTTACTCAAATTCAAAGAAGAAACTTATCTTCAAATAATCTATCTATCTATCTATCTATCTATCTATCTATCTATCTATCTATCTATCTATCTATCTATCTATCTATCTATCTATCTATCTATCTATCTATCTATCTATCTATCTATCTATCTATCTATCTATCTATCTATCTATCTATCTATCTATCTATCTATCTATCTATCTATCTATCTATCTATCTAAACATGCCATCTCATTTGGCCTTGAGGAAAGGTATATCGGATGTGTGTCTTCTCGTGAAAAAAGTAATTACCTTCGTTCGTGTTTGAAAACATATGTGAAGCCCTGATATGTGTTTGTAATTTTTTTTCTTTCAGGGCAAAGGAACGCAGTCGGGCCACAGAACTCTGCTGTACGGCCACGCTGTGCTCTTGAGGCACCAGAATAGCAACATGGTATGGGCGCTCCACAAGCACGTCTCCTTGACATTTCACCAAACACTTGTTTCCCGAGACTTTCGAAGGAGGTTTAGAGCAAGCAGCGTTTGGGGCGAGTTATCCTTGAACCATTGTCTGCCTCCGCTGTAACAAAGTTTCTCCGTGACCTAGTTTCTTGAAAAGGCATCGAATGTCCTCAATGTCTGGTGCGACTTGCCCTGTGACTGCAATTGTCACTATATTGTGGTTTCTTCTAAACGCTTATATTATTTGGTGCTTGTGATAAACGGTTGATACAAACAGATAGGTTGCATGCCATCGTTTCAAAGCAATATAAATAAACTATAGTAGAACTTCTTGTTGGCCTATCGTGCTAAACATACTTGAGTGTAATGGGATGCTTGAAATTGGTACACGCTAACATGGTAAAGGTTTTCACTTTGCGCTTGTCGCTATGCTCGTTTATCTGAACGTTGTATTATTTTAGAGAAATCTCTTTTTTTGACATTTGCAAGTAGCGCCCGCTTTTCCGAGCCTGTTCTTCACAAAGTACCGTGCGAAACAAATAGGTGCATAGAATACAGAATTGTTTTGTCTGAGGCGTTGAGTAATTTTCCATTATGCTGCGGTTTGTAATCTAATCCGATCGTATAATTATAGGTGGCATGTAGGACTGGTGAATACTGCACTGTGTGCTTACTCATATTGTCATCGTATGCAAACGAAATTTGGTGGATTTTTAGAGGCTCAATTTTAATATGTTGCGTGTTTCTTGGCATGATCAATGTCACTATGCACGAAATCGTAATCCTACCCTGCTGCTCTTTTTTGATTTTCTTTTGTTTTTGTCGCAATTCATGATCGCAGTACCTGGCTTGCCTTTCGAGCAGCTCCTACAACGACAAACTTGCCTTCGATGTCGGCTTACAAGATCACTGTCAAGGTAAGACTGCGGTAATATTCGAAGATAAGTTTGATAGTTAAAAGAACGAGGGAGCCATGAAACCTGCAGTGCCCCCCCCCCCCCCCCCGCCCCTCACTTAGATTCTCGCGTTCGTAAGACGCCATAGGATCACGTAATTCACACAACGTGATAATCAAGAATAATGTTTTTAATTCATAAGAACAGTTTGAGACTGGCCAGCCAACCTTGTTAGTGACGGTCTCACACTTAGGAGTGGCTGAGATCATTAGCATAGGTAGATTTAGGCTACAAGGAGGGGTGATTGGGGGTTGCACCCCCTTCAAAGTAATGTTTACATGTGTTTATATATACCCAAAGACATGCCTGTTTATGCATAAACCTTTGTGATCCTCCTGCACTCGGAAAATATTTTATTGTGCCCCTATTTGAGAGGTCATCTTACGAGAAATTTCGTGAATGTGCGGCCTACTTCCCGGGCCGTTTGAAACACTGGCTGCTCTAATACTGAGAATGTGTGAATTGAAAGCGCCAAAATATGAATTCATTAAAATTTAAGAAGAAAAGTAGAAAAAAACAAACGCGCGAACATGTGAATATATATTAAAAGCAAATCACACAAAAAAGCAGTTTCAAGCTTTATTTTAGAATATATTGATCCACTACAGAGCAAGAATTTTTGATTCAGAGCTTAGTGAGTCGTTACAGAAAAAGGCGACCAAGGCGGTAACATATGCTGAACATATCAAAGATGTCTCCTGGAGTAGTTTTTCCTCTTTTTTTCTCATCAAAATTTTTCGGAGCTACTTAGAGTTGAATATTGATACGCTTTAAATATCCTTCGCCAATCACTACTGCGTTAGCATGACCACTTGAGTGAATCATGCTCTTTTTAAACTATGTTTTTTAAACTGAAATTTACCGAATTTATTCACGGCACTTACTTTCATAAGAGATTGCTTATAAAACTGATACAACACCCTTCACGAAAGGAAAACTATATATAGACACATGTATGAAACGAGACATACGTGTAGCTAGCTATACAGGTGGCTTTACCTCTTTATCACACATTTCTTCGATAAGAAAAACAATATAGGTGTAGTCAAAAATATTTTAATCCCCTGTGCCCAGGTTTGGATTCACGTTAAAGAACCCTAGGTGGTCAATATTTCTGGATCCCGTCACTACGGCGTCTCTGATAATCATATGGTGGCTTTGAGGCGTTAAACCTCAAATATCAATCAAATCATTCGAAAGAGCAACAAAGTTTGGCAGTACTGTCACGTCCCGTCGAATTGGTCCTGTCGCAATGTAGCTCCTACCGCTCGTAGAAGTGTGGCTGTTTGGGCTGGTTGGTATGACATGACGATTGTTATAGCGCGGGAACAGAACGACGTTCTCGTGCTGTAAGTATCGTCCTGCCGTTCAGTTTCGACAACAGTGCTCCTCATTATGCTCTCGCTTTTCTCCTGTGTCTCACGGTTGGCGCTGCCATGCGGATCTCTCGAAGTCCCGTTCCTTTTTTATGCATGTGCTTGCGTGGGAGACGTTGAGCGGAAGTTGAGCGGAGCGTACTTAACGATCTAGAATAAACAACGATCACAGTGGTTGTCATGGCAATCCAAATAATGGCCTCTCTCGATCCACCCGGAGATGTTGTCGCTGTGTACTCGGAGACCATTAAACGTACATTTCGAACAAAGGACTCGTGCAGACATTATGAACTGCTTGGTTGAACGCGAGAATTCAGTCAAATTGACTGGCGCTACTGGTGAATTCTTCTCCTCGTCTTTGTCTTTTTTTTGTTGTTTTGTTTTTATTTTGCGCGCAGTCCTTGCTGTTTGGTGTTCTGTTTCTGTCTTTTAAGCATGTATGTCGATTTTTTTCTCTTGCCAGAATCATTACCTAAATAATGATTTCAACAACAAACGACTAACGAACAGCCGCGATTACTTCATCCCTGTATGTAGTTCCACAAGGAATTGTTTTGAGAGTTTTCGAGCCATTTACTCATTCGCAGGCTCGCGTAACAAATAAAATAAGGAAGTCTGAGTGCTATACAAGTGCAAGCGGTGCATAGTAAATAACGCAGAGAAAAAATACAAGCCTTTGTTGTAAAAAAGCTGGGCTCACTGCAAACTTGTGCGCAGCCTTAGGTGAGAATTCTGGCTTAAAGAAAAAGAAAAAGTGAAAAAGAAGGCGGCTTTGAGTCAGAAAGGTTTGTTATCAGTACACTATATTTGCCTAGTTCTGTTTTTTTTTGAGATTGTACATAAAAGTCGGACGATTGAACACTTTAACTACGCCCGCCATGGTTGGTCAGTGGCTACGGTGCTCTGCTGCTGACTCGGATGATGCGGGTTCAGCCTTGGCACTCGCATTTCGATAAAGATGACATGGTAGAGGCATATGTACTGCGCGTTGTCAGTGCACGATGGAAAGCACAATGTGGTCGATATTTGCGGAGCCCTCAACCACAGCGCCTATAATAATAATATGTTGGCTTTGGAACATTAAACCGCAGGTACTGTTATGCTTCTTCTTTTTCTTCTTCTGCTCCGTAGCTCTCTGCTTTCTCTAGCTTTTTCTAGCTCTCTAGCTTTCTGCTCCGTAGCTAAGTACTGTCAAGATACAGCTGTTATATACCTTCCTCTTGAGAGAAGTAGTAGTAGTAGTATTGCTTTACTATATTGTTGACAATTTAATGGACCAGTATAGTAACTTTCCGTGAACACAAAACACCAGCCAGATATCTGAATCCATCACTGCTACTGCCTAGAAACATATTTTTCAGCAGCTGGGCAAAACAGTCGCGTAAAGGCTATCTGCGACTCGGCCGGTCCGTGTCCTTGAAAGCACAATGGGCGAACTTCCGATCGCCCTCACACGCGAGATAGTCACGTCACTTTAGAAACGTCACGTTTGTCATCACTGCTGCCGAATGGCAGTCGTTGTCGGCTCTGGATCTGGCAATGGCGATACAGGCAAAATAGCTATGGCCACGAAGCTGGCATGACGTAGGTTACTGAGTTTCCCATTGACACGGGTGAACCAGTGGCACTGGCGTTTGCTTGAAAATGGCGATAGTCGGCTGAAAATTGCAATATTATGCCATACCAGCTGAAACCTTTCGCTTAAATCATATATGCTGGTTATATGCTGGTGGGCTTCGCGGCTGTGCCACCACACAGGCCGCTAACCCGTTCCTCCTGATCATGCAGGTTTTTACCCGCATTATCGCCGACCTGCTACTGCCTGCCTGGCTGGCTGTATCGTCTGCCACTCCGGGAAGCCGCCTACCTGCTACCAACGAAGGCGAACATTTTGTTTGCCCTCTCCCTGGCACCCATGCTTCCGGATCTTCGGCAGCGCCACCCCTCCTTCCGTGGATGGTCGAGATAAATCCAACATCCCCTGCGCAGCCTATAAAGCAGCAGCCACCATCCAGCGCGCACTGTGCGCTTCGCGGCTGTGCCACCACACAGGCCACTAACCCTTTCCTCCTGATCATGCAGGTTTTTGCCCGCATTATCGCCGACCTGCTACTGCCAGCCTTGCTGGCTGTATCGTCTGCCACCCCGGGAAGCCGCCTACCTGCTACCAACGAAGGCGAACATTTTGTTTGCCCTCTCCCTGGCACCCATGCTTCCGGATCTTCGGCAGCGCCACCCCTCCTTCCGTGGATCGTCGAGATAAATCCAACATCCCCTGCGCAGCCTATAAAGCAGCAGCCTCCATCCAGTGCGCACTGTGGGCTTCGCGGCTGTGCCACCACACAGGCCACTAACCCGTTCCTCCTGATCATGCAGGTGTTTGCCCGCATTATCGCCGACCTGCTACTGCCTGCCTTGCTGGCTGTATCGTCTGCCCACCCGGGAAGCCGCCTACCTGCTACCAACGAAGGCGAACATTTTGTTTGCCCTCTCCCTGGCACCCATGCTTCCGGATCTTCGGCAGCGCCACCCCTCCTTCCGTGGATCGTCGAGATAAATCCAACATCCCCTGCGCAGCCTATAAAGCAGCAGCCACCATCCAGCGCACACTGTGGGCTTCGCGGCTGTGCCACCACACAGGCCACTAACCCTTTCCTCCTGATCATGCAGGTTTTTGCCCGCATTATCGCCGACCTGCTACTGCCTGTCTTGCTGGCTGTATCGTCTGCCACCCCGGGAAGCCGCCTACCTGCTACCAACGAAGGCGAACATTTTGTTTGCCTTCTCCCTGGCACCCATGCTTCCGGATCTTCGGCAGCGCCACCCCTCCTTCCGTGGATCGTCGAGATAAATCCAACATCCCCTGCGCAGCCTATAAAGCAGCAGCCACCATCCAGTGCGCACTGTGGGCTTCGCGGCTGTGCCACCACACAGGCCACTAACCCGTGCCTCCTGATCATGCAGGTTTTTGCCCGCATTATCGCCGACCTGCTACTGCCTGCCTTGCTGGCTGTATCGTCTGCCACCCCGGGAAGCCGCCTACCTGCTACCAACGAAGGCGAACATTTTGTTTGCCCTCTCCCTGGCACCCATGCTTCCGGATCTTCGGCAGCGCCACCCCTCCTTCCGTGGATCGTCGAGATAAATCCAACATCCCCTGCGCAGCCTATAAAGCAGCAGCCACCATCCAGTGCGCACTGTGGGCTTCGCGGCTGTGCCACCACACAGGCCACTAACCCGTTCCCTCCTGATCATGCAGGTTTTTGCCCGCATTATCGCCGACCTCTACTGCCTGCCTTGCTGGCTGTATCGTCTGCCACCCCGGGAAGCCGCCTACCTGCTACCAACGAAGGCGAACATTTTGTTTGCCCTCTCCCTGGCACCCATGCTTCCGGATCTTCGGCAGCGCCACCCCTCCTTCCGTGGATCGTCGAGATAAATCCAACATCCCCTGCGCAGCCTATAAAGCAGCAGCCACCATCCAGCGCGCACTGTGGACTTCGCGGCTGTGCCACCACACAGGCCGCTAAGCCATTCCTCCTGATCATGCAGGTTGGTAGTTCGTATCCCACGCCTACTAAAAAA